GCCACTTTGTTAATAAAAAAAGACCCTGATCTTTTCAGACATGGGCTTTATCAGACCTGTGGTGATTTGCTGTTGATTCTGACTTTAGGCCATCAGCAGTAAATCTTTACAGTTCAACATAGAGTCCTAAACTAGTCCACATGTGGTAGTTGTCCCACTTGGACTGGTCTTCAATCATGTTTTAGTCTTAACACCTGATGCTGTCTGCTTCAGATAAACATTCACACAAAGATGACCATCCATCCATCCATCCATCCATCCATCCATCCATCCATCCATCCATCCACCATGTAGACCTGATTCTATCTTTCAGGGTCACTGGTGTCCACATCCAGCAGTCAGTGTGAGGGGACACCCTGGACATGTCTCCAGTCCATCACATAGAGACAAACAGCCATTCACTCTCTCACTCACACCCAGGAACCGTCCAGTACTCAAAGAAAACTCGTACTGGGAGAACATGCAAACTCTACCCAGGAAGGTCTCAGACCGGGATTCAAACTTGCAACCTTCTCAGTGTCAGATTGTAGACAGACAACAGTAGAACTCACTGCTGTGTTTCACAGTGAGACTGAACATTTCCACACAAAACTACTGTGTAGCTGTAAGAAAACCACTAACCATGGGACGGCATGAAATCATGATGGTATGACAACCTTGGGCAAAAATATCATGTATGACAGTATTATGATTACAGCTCTAAAATGTTTTATTTTCAAACTGGTATTTAAAACAAAAAGAGGATAAATTTCCTATTATTATATTAAACTTTAATTATCTTTGGAAGCTGTTTTAGATCACAGAGGTGTTAATGTTGAAATTTTATTTACCTGTGTGCATCTGTACTTATGATTTTTAGATTATCCTGATAAAGTTTAAATCTAATCTAGTAAGATAACTGCTTTTCCTCTGTTTTATTAGTTAAGACAAATCAGTGTATACTGCACAAATCTTTTTATTGAAGTAATGTATCATGTTGGGAGTTTTTGTTTTAAATTTCAGAAGGGTTTTTGACATAAAGATTATATAATTATATGCACACAGAAACAAGAAATCACAACTATGAATGTGTGTTTATGAACCACACATTCAGCTAACGAGCTGCTAAAGGAGGCATTCAGTTTTATCACCTTTCACTTAAAACTTGTCAAATACACAATCCAACAACTCCAAAACAAGTTTACAGACAAGTTGCAGACATCACTGATGTCTGATGCTAAAGTTAGCTCGTTCATTTGAAGATAGCATAACCTTTACCTGGAGCTGTGATCATGTTAGARGTGTTCCCTCCATGGTCCACATGGRCTTCATCTTTAAGGCATCCTAAGTATTTTCTTATAGCTGGATTTATTTTTTTAGCAGGTAAAAAGTTTGGGGAACTCTCTTCCTTCAGACATCACACAACCTGCAGAGCTGCTACCTGTCGGCACTCAGCAGCTCTGTGAGGGTGCACAGGGGAGGGGTCGCAGGGGTGAAGTCTGCAGCTGCAGACACCTTAGAAAAAATAAATAAAAAACACTTCTACTGCTTTAAATTTGATTGGTTTTTAAACCATGACTTTTTCCATATCACGGTTTACCATGAAAACTGTGTCCTGCCTAAAGGAGGCCAATGGAAAAAAACAGATTAATTTTGTTAGGGAGCATAAAGACTGGACTCTGGAGCAGTGGAAGGTCCTGTGGTCTGATGGGTCCAGACGGACCCTGATCCACACTGACCTTGGTCCAGACTGATGGGAGTATCAGTATAAGAAGAGAGGTAGGTGAAGGGATGCACCCACCCATCATGTTTAGTGCTTACTGTACCAGTCTGCAGGTGCAGGTGGTCTGGTCTAGGTCCACCAGCATCATGAGGTCAGCTGAATATACTGAATGAGCAGGTCAGTGGATTGGTTCAGCCATGTTCCACCATGACAAGGCCAGGATTCATCAGGCCTACACTGTGAAGGAGTGGTTCAGGGAGCATGATGCTACATTCACACTGAACGTGTTTTGAGCAGCAAAAGCACYCCCAATGCCTCAAGTTGGACGCTCTACTTTCAGACCGGGACAGAGACTAGAGGTGCGTCTGAAGAGGGAGGAGCGTCGTGGTTCTTTTCTGGTCTGTCTTTACTACGGTGAAATAAAGATAAAATAAAGAAAATGGCCAGTGCTGGGCAGCGCTAATTCAAAAATTAGCTCCGCAATTTCTAAAGCGCTTATGAAGATATTTAGGTCCACAACTTCAAAACCTGCTTATTGCATAGAAATATTAGAGGAAGCTAATTCTAAAATGCAGGTTCAATTTGACACGTTCTAGCTGGCTACAGTTCATTGCTGCCCACTAGTGGTGTATGAACCCTTGTGCAGCTCGTTTTACAACTGCCGAATGCTGGGGGTCTGATCTCCTGAAACACAACTTTGACTCCTGGGTGGACAAATTAAAAACGTTGTTGAGCGTTGCTCGGCTGATTCTTTAAAAAGTTGTTGAGGATTGCTATTTTGGCTGATTTTTTGTCTTTTTTTTTGTTTGTTGTAGATTTTTCATTAACATCAATAAAGTGATTTTAAAACACTGTTCATTGGAAAACTGAAGCGATGCATTCTGGGTACATGACGGACTGACGAGAAACGAAAGCACGGGGAACAGGAAACTAGTTTTCCCCCTTCAAAATAAAAGCTTGAATTTTAAAGTTTTTCATGTTTCCATTGGATTTTAAAGTTTTCCAGTTCACCTGAAACTCCTCAGACTGAAGAAGTCTCTTGGAGGAGAGAAGAAGAGCCATCCAGAGGACCTACTGATTTTTTCTTTGTGATTTTTGAGAGGCATCAGGACGTTTCCATGTAGCTGCAGCTGCTCCAGTTGACCACTAGATGTCAGTCTTCATCAGCATAAGTCTATAACCTCGTTGCTTCGACCAATCACTTCAAGTATTGAGCTCCAGCGTTAAACTTTATTTATTTTTTAAAAAGGAGCTCTGATTGTAAAGTAAAATAAATCAATACATACAAAATTTTAGTAAGGATTACAAACGTTAACTGTTTTAACTGGGACAGGGAGTTCTAAACACTGCCTTCCTGCTACGTAAGCAGACACAAAGCATTGTGGGAAATGTCTGTAAAATGTGGATCCCTGCTGGCTGCTGAATATTGTCTTTTGTAGTATGTTTATTATAATTTAACAGAAGCCATATGAGTCATTTAGATTGCTGCCAGCAAAAATACTTTGCAAAGCTGACCCAGTAAAATGAGAACGGACTGAACCGTGACCCAAAGCGACAGTCAGGAAGGATGTATACCTTCACAAAAATAGTGTTAAGCCTGGAGGGGAGCTGTTGGACAGATCAAGTGCGTTGTGAGTCCTGACAGCAATTCCTTCTGCTGTTCAAGATAATAACCGGTAGAAAATGAGTTATTAGTGGAACTGCAATTTAAATTTAAAAAGTGCAAATCCACTTATGAATTATAAAAATTAGCAAGACCGCTAAAGCGCAAACAAAATGTTCAGGTCTGCATATAGTGGATTTGCGCTTTAGCGGACTTGTGCCCACCACTGACAATGGCTTTGCTTTATTTACCAATGAGCGAGCAAACGTTGCGCACAACAGATAATAAATTCACCAGATGATTTGGAGGCGGTTTGTTTGGTTAGTTTCACTCCAGGAGCTGCGAGCTGATGGACTATTTTTCGTCCAGAGCTCAGTTTAACACCGTGGTCAGTTTAACGAGCTGCTGACCCACATCGGTGCTGATATCTCCAGCCAGAACATCAACTACAGATGGTCCATTTCAGCTAAAGAGCTCCTGTCCGTCTGTTTGTGGGCAACATTCAGGGAACTGTCACCTGGAAAAATCACGCTCTCTGATTGGTTGACACGGCTCGTCGAGCAGCAAAAATTCAGATTTTTTAACTTGGGCGTCGGCTGCTTTGGAAACTTCGCATGCATGGAAAACGATCTACTGCAGTGGTTACCAAAGTTGGGGTTGGGACCCACAATGGGGTCCCAAACATCAAGACAGGGTCCTGAAAAGACTTTCTGAATTATCTATATTAGAAAATAACAACTAACAACATTTTTTTGCCTTTTTTGTTACAAGAGTAAGGTTAGTGTACTTAAAGGATCCCTGATTAGTTGTAACATTAAACTTTATTTGATAAACATTTATTTTAACTGTAAAATAAAGACTGTAAAAATACTGTAGGATGTTTAGTTTTGTAAATTTCTAAAAATATATTTTAACATGGACTGGGCCATTTTATTTGCACACAAAGCATTCTGGGTAAATGATGACGTGGATAGGTCCTCGGTGTGAGCGAGCTATATCCACCCTGAAGGTTAATCTTGGACAATATCTGATGATGGACTCTTTTAAATGAAACCAGAGAGCGTTGACAGAGAGGAGAAGGTAGAAATGACTCAGCCTGGAACTGAAAATATGGATGGAGGACAACAGAGCTGCTTCATGGAAGAACAACCTCAGATTAGCCTGTTAGCCTTCGCGCTAGCGCCAACACTATATTGCCTTATATGTATTAGCTCGGTGCTAGCGCAACAAACAAGCTAACCTGTTGTCCTCCATCCATATTTTCAGTTCCAGGCTGAGTCATTTCTACCTTCTCCTCTCTGTCAACGCTCTCTGGTTTCATTTAAAAGAGTCGATCATCAGATATTGTCCAAGATTAACCTTCAGGGTGGATATAGCTCGCTAGCAGCCTCGCACCGAGGACCTATCCACYTCATCATTTACCCAGAATGCTTTGTGTGGAAATAAAATGGCTCCGTCCATGTTATTATAGATTTTTAAAAATTTACAAAACTAAACATCCTACAGTATTTTACAGTTTTTAATTTACAGTTAAAATTTATGTTTACTAAATAAAGTCTAATGTTACAACTAATCAGGGATCATTTTAAAATGGACAGAAATAGCACAATGAATATTGTTACTATGCTCTTTTTTTTTACTTGAAAACAATATTTATGATCCAACAACAGTTGGGGGCTCAGGTCTGATATTTTAAGGGTCACAGGCTGAAAAGTTTGGGAACCACTGCTCTATTGCATCTACCGCTTCATTAAACGCCACACTAAATGGACTTGACGCACCGCGAGACCCCTAGAGGCGCATCTAGCGTAGACTTTTCTTATAAACCGGCTGCTCCTGCAGCTCAAAACGTGTTTGGTGTGAACGTAGCAGGAGACTGGACTGGACACAATCCTACAAAGCTGCCATTCACTGTGTATTCTGACACCTGTCAGTCAGAACCTGTTTCAGCAGTTTGAGCCTTCGCTACATGCACCAGTGAGGCTTGACCACCCATAGCTCTGCTGTCGGACCACCAGTTTTCCTTTCTCTGATCAGTTTTGGTAGTTGCTGCAGTGGTCATAATGTTATGGCTAATAGATGTATGTAGAGTGTTGTAGAGTGAAGCTATGCATGCTTTGTCCTCTTCTGTTTTCTCCGTGGTGCTCAGTGGTGCATGTAGTTGTCACCAGTAAACATGTATTGTGTTTTTTTGCTCTCATACATGACCTGTTGAAAACTGCTGTGTCATGCTTTTAACATCATACAGTAAACACTAGCTTGACTGCAGCCACATGTACCATGTGCCAGCTCCACACATCTCTCATGTCATTGGGTGTGAACACAGATATGTACCAGTGTCTCCCTTCAAATGAAATGTGTGTCTCTAGACCCACACTCAGGAGGACATTAGAGGCAGCAACAATCAAACCTCATTTCATATTGGCACTTGGGGCAAGAAGAAATCTAATTCTTTGGCTAAAGTAAGAAAGTAGTCTCATATGATCCTGTTGACCCATGTGTGTCTAATCTCGCTGCTTCCTGCCTGCCACTCAATCTTGGAGGAGGGTTCAACCACAAAGGGCTTTCTTTGGTCACAGATTGATAATTTCTCAGATGATTGCAACATGAGGTAATTTATCCAGCTGTGTGTTAATCTTCTGCTTGCCTAACTAAAGAGGGTTTTYGCTCTTCTCGTGTCTACACCTTGCTGTTGATCTGTTCTGGGTGACAGCTTTCTGATGAGTGATCTAGTAGCCCAATAAGGGGGTCAGTTTTGGTGGAAGTGCTCAGAACCATGGATACCCTAAAGAAGCACGTTTGAATCCTGTTAATGTCTGAAGAAGTGCTCTGTATCCCTGGCTCTGACCTGTTTTTCTCAAAGCTTTTACTTCAAAACTGTCAGGTCTGTGATGGAGCCTTCTAATCAAATGATTTAAAGGCCCATCATAGAGCTTTGGTTTCAGAGCATGTCTTCTTCTTCTTTTTGTAATTGCACAAATATTACCTGTTGTCTGTCTCAACAGGCTTCTCAGCAGAGCGTTCCTCAGGCCGTCTGGGTTGTTCCRGCCCTCCGACAGCTGCACGAAATCACTCGTTCTTTCATCAAGCAGACCTACCAGAAACAGGACAAGGTAGGACAAACACTGAGGATGTGAAGGAGCTGCTCCACACTCCACGATGCTACGATAACTGTTTCCTGTTTCACCACAGAGCATCATCCAGGACTTAAAGAAGAACTTTGAGATCATTAAGCTGATCACAGGGTCTCTGGTGTGCTGCCACCGCCTGGCAGTGACGGCTTCAGGCAATAACGGGCTCTCCTGCTCCACTCTGGTGGACGGCAGGTACACCTACCAGGAGGTTAGTCCCTGTTTACTGTGTTTCATCTGAAGCTTCTTATTGTTGGACTTTATGACACATGAAACATCTCTGTGCAGTATCTGGACAGTCACCTGCGCTTCCTGGCCTTCTTCCTCCAAGAAGCCAGCCTCTACCTGGTGTGGAACAGAGCCAAGGAGCTCTGGGAGTGTCTGGTGTCCGGGCCGGACGTTTGTGAACTTGACCGTGAGGTATGAAGACATTTGATGCTAAATGAAACCTTGTCCTCACCCTGTTTCTCTAAATGACTGCTCAGGTGGAACGCACACAGACCCCTCCTCCTTTTAATGTTTCTGTAAAGTCATCTGTTTAAAATAAGTTTACCACTAAACCAGTTAGAAACAAGCTGAATATTTCATTGAAAGTGCAGCTCTGTGGAGAGATTGTTTGGTGTTTCTGTTGTAGTATCAGAGGAAAACATTCAGTTACCATATGATCCTTAACACAGGTGCAAGCTGCTGTCTGCTGCAGAACACCTGTCATGTTTTACTGGGTTTATGGGAGTGAGAGGCAGATTCAGTTTGTTCTGATTTAATCTGAGTTGCTTGGTGTGACACCAAGTGGTCACCTAAYGTTGGGTTGGACAAAATCCCACTGTGTGCAATTAATAATGAGAACAACTATTGCCAGTTATCATTTGGCCATGAATATGATTAGTGCTGCGGGGCGGACTGACCTGAGATTCCCCAGTAGTCCACTGGGTGGCACTCTTCTCTTTCCTCTTCTAATCCAAATAACTTCCTGCTCCAAGTCCTCACTCTGTCTCAGAACATTTCTTCCTCCATCTCTGCCTTTGAGCTTCCTCCTCTCTCTGCAAAGGTTCATGCTCAAATATCACCTCATTGTTTTACTCACTTTATTCTTTTATTTTAAAAAAGGGATCAGTCTTTGGTAGAGGTGGGATATTGACTCCCTCCATTGCACTAGGGGGCTCTAAAGGTTCTTTACTTCTGCTCTGAAGGACTTTGTGTAAAACTGGAAGTAATATTGCCAAAAATCAATTGTCAAGTGATTTTAAATGAAGCAAACATAGAGAAAAAAATAATAAATAAATTGAGAATCCTTCTACATTTGCAGTTAAAGGAACAGTAGCTGCATTTCCAACAAATGTGCGCAAAACTTTATCAATATTCTGTTAATTAAAAAAACACAGTTTCACAACTACAGTGTTTCCATTAAGTAAGAAATGTTATTAAAGTCACGTGAATACGTTTGTTGTCATGATAAGTCATTACAAACATGGCAGCGATGGATGTAAACACACAGCATGTTGCTACCACGACACTAGCGCTCATCATCAGAGGAGACGTCGGCGTCTTTTATCGAGGCTTTCCAGCGACAAGTCCCTACTTGGGAGCGGCTACGTATGCTGTGTTTTTGGGAAATTGTAGTCGCTGAGTTTACTATTTTATACTACTTCTGTGATATTACTACTACTTCTACTTCCTGTTATCTTCTTCATCATCGTCTTTTTCACCAGTAGAAACAGACGGTTGTTGATCATGTGACTCCTGTGATGTGAAAAAACTTTCCATTGTAGTTTTGTGAAAAACACCAATTTAGATACGACTGAAAAACCACCTCATCCTAGAGCAAAAACATTTTGTCAAAAAACGTAAGTTATTTCGAAATTGACGTGTTTCCATTGAGCAAATTTGTTTTTGAAATTCTAATTTGCGCTAGGGATGCAAGTTATTGAATAATGGATTGATCCAAGGTTGATTGYTCTTATGGATCGACTAACGATTAATTGATAAGCGGCCATTTTCCTAAAAACCTAACATTTCTCTTGAATTAAGAGTCTTTCTGTAACGTGAAGGGCTAATTTTGTACACTAAATAAAAACGTACTGTATTTTAACAATTCATTGTGCCAGCTGTGTGAGTAAACACTGACTGAATGAATAGAAAAATGTGGATTTCTCTCACATTATTAAATTTGGACATATTTACAAAATATAACAAYACAGGAATCTGTTAAGTTGCTTGTTGAAAAAAATAGTAATAAAATGAGTAAAACACTTACGTAATCCATCCTGAAGATGAAAAACTTATTTAAACACAGGGTAATATTTAAAGATTGACTCAAAAACAAACTAAGAACATAATAAAATTTCTCTGAAAGATGTGAGATACAAATGAGTACTGGCAATAGTTTGTTTGTTTGTTTGTTTGTTTGTTTACACTCCATCTTAGCTGGGCTGCTGGACATGTCATGATCTGGCATCAGTTACTATTTATTAGATTGGTTCACTGGCCGGGTTATGTCACACAGATTAGATTAACTTCATATTTTTAACGACTGTAATGTTTTTGTTTTGTTTTGTTCTTTCACACYAGTTAAACTCAACGAGAGGAAGCTAACATTAGCCACAGTTAGCTTACCGTTCTGTCGTCCTGCTCTCTTGTTTTAAGCATCATAGTGCTGGATACTCTGGCACAGCCTTCAGTACTTTTCCTTGGGATTTGGTATGGTCCATTATTATTGTTGTGTCGCAAATAAAACTAAATAAGACTCGTGCGTTTGCGTTCCCACCCACATTATTGAGACAGCTTTCTGCTGCTCAGTTCAACTGGACCGGGGTAGAGCAGCAGCGCGCTCTGCTGGATGAAGTCAAAACTACACCGAAATATGGTTTAAATGACGTTTTCAATTAATCGAATGGAAGAAACTTTAATCTAATAAACCATTAATCAACAATTAATCGTAAATCGATTAATTGTTTGCATCCCTAATTTGAGCATTTTCATGGTCAATGGCAATGCATCTAGTGTTTAACATTTAGGCATATCTTTTAGCAGAACTTAAGACAATCACCATTAAACACGATCAAAACACACGTAATCATTAAAAAGAAGTTGTTGGATTATTTTTACTTTAGAACAAGCTGTTCATATGTACATGGGTGCTGGTCGACACTGCCATGTTTCTACAGTAGCTCAGAAAGGACAAACAAAGGGCTAGGAAAATCAAGAACTGTTTGTGTTGTGAAGATGAACTAGGCATTGCATTAGACCTCAATGAGAAATAAGAAATGATCATTTTACATATCACATTTCCTAAATTTCTAATGAAATGGATCCTACCACTGCCATTAGACATCATGTTCAGGAGTATAGAAGATTTATAGATTTATGACACCTGATGACCACCGTAGAGACTCTGTTGTGTTTGGAGGACTTAGTTTGGCTTCAAAGTAAGAAAAGGGGGCTTTGAGGGAAATAGGTTGGGAACCACTGCAATAAACTACAAAACTCAAACACAGTAAACATAGATCTAACATCTCATCCCTCACTCCAGCTCTTGTCTCTATTGCTGCCAAACTTGACTCAACTTTCATCTCTTTTTTATTTTCTTCTTCCTGTACATGTTTTGTCACTCATCAAATAATTTCAGGGGTTAGTCAGAAAGAAGTTTAGTGGTTTTATGTTTGTTCGGCAGGGAGGAGGTGGAACCAGAGGGTGGATTGAGGTGTTTTTTTGTTTTTCAATGCCTCCTGCTGCACCATCTTTCAAATATGATGAACATTAAAAACAACATGTGCTGTAAATTATTTATCATAATTCTGGTTTTACTTGGTCTGTCAACACTGTTTAAGAACTGTGTATAACTTGAAGTCTGGACTTTTGTCTCAGACTGGGACAGATTGAGTGAGCCTATATTTCCCACAAGAGTGATTTTACATCACTCTAGTGGAAAACTCTAGTGTAAATCACTAGTGTAAATCACTCTAGTTGGAAACTACTGTAAATCACTAGTGTAAATCACTCTAGTGTAAATCACTAGTGTAAATCACTCTAGTGTAAATCACTAGTGTAATCACTAGTGTAAATCAATGTAAATCACTAGTGTAAATCATTTGTAAATCACTGTAAATCACTAGTGTAATTCACTAGTTTAAAGTAATGTAAATCACTCTAGTGTAAATCATTTGTAAATCACTGTAAATCACTCTAGTGTACTTCACTAGTTTAAATCAATGTAAATCACTAGTGTAAACCACTATAAATCAGTAGTATAAATCACTAGTGTAAATCAATGTAAATCACTAGTGTAATCACTAGTGTAAATCACTCTAGTGTAAATCACTAGTGTAAATCACTCTAGTGTGAATCGCTCTAGTGTGAATCACTAGTGTAAATCACTGTAAATCACTCTAGTTTAAGTCACTCTAGTGTAATCACTAGTTTAAATCACTCTGGTGTAATCACTAGTGTAAATCACTCTAGTGTAAATCACTAGTGTAAATCACTCTAGTGTAAATCACTAGTGTAAATCACTCTAGTGTAGTGTAATCACTAGTGTAAATCACTCTAGTGTAATCACTAGTGTAAATTAGTGTTGTGTAAATCACTAGAGTAAATTATTCTAGTGTAAATCACTAGTGTAAATCACTGTAAATCATTCTAGTGTAAATCACTCTAGTGTAATCACTAGTGTAAATCACTCTAGTGTAATCACTAGTGTAAATTAGTGTTGTGTAAATCACTAGAGTAAATTATTCTAGTGTAAATCACTAGTGTAAATCACTGTAAATCATTCTAGTGTAAATCACTCTAGTGTAATCACTAGTGTAAATCACTCTAGTGTATATCACTCTAAATCACTCTAGTTTAAGTCACTCTAGTGTAATCACTAGTGTAAATCACTCTAGTGTAAATCACTAATGTAATCATTAGTGTAAATCACTGTAAATCATTCTAGTGTAAATCACTCTAGTTTAATTACTGGTGTAAATCACAAGTATAAATCACTCTAGTGTAGTGTACTCACTAGTGTAAATCACTCTAGTGTACTCACTAGTGTAAATTTCTCTAGTGTAATCACTAGTGTAAATTACTCTAGTGTAAATCACTCTAGTGTAAATCATTCTAATGTAGTCACTAGTGTAAATCGCTCTATTGTAAATCACTCAAGTTTAAATCATTAGTGTAAATCTCTGTAAATCATTCTAGTGTAAATCACTCTAGTTTAATTACTAGTGTAAATCACTCTAGTGTAATCACTAGTTTAATTACTAGTGTAAATCACTCTAGTGTAATCACAAGTGTAAATCACTAGTGTAAATCACTAGTCTAATCACTAGTGTAAATCACTCTAGTGTAAATCACTAAATAATTCTAGTGTAAATCGCTCTAGTTTAATTACTAGTGTAAATCACTAGTATAATCACTAGTGTAAATCACTGTAAATCATTCTAGTGTAAATCACTGTAAATCATTCTAGTGTAAATCACTATAATTACTAGTGATTTACACTAGTAATTAAACTAGTGTAAATCACTAGTTTAATTACTAGTGTAAATCACTCTAGTATAATCACTAGTGTAAATCACTCTAGTATAATCACTAGTGTAAATCACTGTAAATCACTAGTGTAAATCACTGTAAATCACTAGTGTAAATCACTAGTGTAAATCACTCTAGTGTAAATCACTAGTGTAAATCACTGTAAATCACACTAGTGTAAATCACTAGTGTAAATCACTGTAAATCACACTAGTGTAAATCACTAGTGTAAATCACTGTAAATCACTCGGGGTTAATCCTTATTTAGTTTTTTGCCATTATCCCACACTCCTAACCCATGAGGTTGTTCATTAACTTACTGTTTGCTACAGCTGCTCTCTATCTAATGTATAATGTAAGTAGTTCATAAGTTCTGCACTAAAGGTTGATATTTTTTGTACATTTAGATGTGTTTTGAGTGGTTCACTAAAGGACAACATGACCTGGAGAGTGACGTCCAGCAGCAGCTCTTTAAGGAGAAAATCTTAAAACTGGAGCCTTATGAGATCACTATGAACGGTGAGAGACTGTGTGTGTTTATGCCAACAGTTCACAAATGATTGAATATTTGACATGGCAGTAACGTGTTTAAAATGTGCCTCAGGTTTTAATTTGTTCAAGACTTTCTTTGAGAACGTCAATCTGTGTGACCACCGTCTGAAGCGTCAGGGAACTCAGCTGGTGAGTCCTCGTTCACGTTCTGTGTTTCTGATATGATACATGTTGTATAAAACCTTTAACATATCATATGCTGTCATTAGTGTGTGGAGCGTCTTGACCTGGCGGGGATGGATTTTATTTGGCGCATCGCCATGGAAACCCCTGATGAAGAGATAGCCAATGAAGCGATCCAGCTAATAATCACATACAGCTACACCAACCTCAATCCTAAAATGAAGAAGGTTTGTTTATGTCTACCCATATACATTATTATATACATAATATACACACACGTGTATATTCTTACATTAACATGTTTTATGTAAAATCACATGTGTATATTCTTATATTAACATGTTATTAAGTTAAATCACACGTGTAAATTCACATATTAACATGTTTTTAAGTTAAATCACATGTATATTCTTATCTTCTTGCAGGATTCTGTCWCTTTGCACAAGAAGTTTATAGCTGATTGCTACAAGCGTCTGGAGGTATGCACCTGATTTATGATGGGAGTGTTGTCGTTGATAAAAACCAAGCCGTAGCAGCTCATCTCTGTTCCCCTCTCCTCAGGCTGCCAGCTCGGCCCTGGGCGGGCCCACTTTAACCCACGCCGTTACCAAGGCCACCAAGATGCTGACGGCCACTGCCATGCCCACTGTGGCCACATCTGTACAGTCACCTTCCAGGTACAGAGGGGGGTTTGGGTAAGAACAGACTTACTAACCTTATTATCACCTTTGTTTTCTCACATCCTTTATTTATTCCTGATAACAGTTTTAAAGTCTGTTAACTGGAAGTCTCACAGAAACTCTCGTGTTGATTTGTAGGTCCACAAAGCTGGTGATAATTGAAAGACTGTTGTTATTGGCTGAACGTTACGTCATCACTATAGAGGTATTTGACTGCACCATATGTAGGATTCAAGTGGTCATACATGTCATTATTTTAGTGTCCTTTAGTCAGAATGTGGTGTTTTTTCACAGTAAAGCTGTTGTTTTTGTTGTTTTTGTGCTCCTGTTCAGGACATGTACTCATTTCCTCGCACTATCCTACCTCATGGGGCCTCGTTTAACGGACACCCCGTCACTCTTCACATCACCTATGAGTCAACCAAAGACACGTTTGCTCTGGAGGTATTCCTGGTTTCCTGTAGTGTTTTGTGTTTATTTGATGATGTGATTGTGTGTGTGTAGAGGAGCTGACTGTGTGCTGTGTGTCCTGCAGACCCACAGTAATGAGACCATAGGAAGCATCCGCTGGAAGATCTCAGAGCATCTGAGCTGTCCAGTAGATAATGTCCAGATCTTTGCTAACGACAGCATGGTGAGTGTTCCTGACTCGGCTCCTCTCTTGGTTTTACCTTAGTCTTCTGAGCTCTACGTTGAAGAGTGTCGTTTCTGTCCTGACTTCCTGTTAGCTGACCATGAATCGGGACCAGAAGCTGCTGTCCCAGCTGGGCTTCAGTGATGAGCAGACCCTGACGGTGAAGAGCTCAGGCACTGGCACTCCTTCAGGCAGCTCAGAGTCCTCAGCCTCGGCCTCCAGCAGTTCCAGCTCTGCCGTCTTCAACTCTGCCTACGCCTTGGAGCAGGTATTACCTTAAGTCATGACTGTGCATCTTACTGAGCGTGAGCCCAGTCCAGGTTCTGATGTGTCCCTGTCTGTGAGCTCAGGAGAAGTCTCTGCCTGGGGTGGTGATGGCTTTGGTCTGCAACGTCTTTGAGATGCTTTACCAGCTGGCTAACTTGGATGAGCCCAGGTGAGACGGTAGTTTTCATGTTGCATCTACCATGAAGATGTCCTGATGTACTGTTTACTTCATCTAAGTGTAAAATCTAACCCTTACACAGTGATTGTGTCGGGACTGAAGGACTTTTCTTTATCATTTGGTAACTAACAGAATCACTCTTCGTGTGAGGAAGCTGCTGCTGCTGATTCCAACAGATCCTGAAGTGCAAGATGCTCTCGACAACTTTGTCCCCAAAGAATCCAGCGTGTGGAGCCACCAGGTGCCTCTCAATGACTCGTGAAGCTCTCCCCTTTCTCACATCTGCTGGTCTAACCATGGTCCTTGTACAGGGCTCCTGTGGGTCCTTAAAAACTCTGAAAGGGCTCTGAATTCATCAAATTYAAAATAAGGCRTTCATTAGCCTTAAAATGTCTTAAATCAACCTTTCAGAGGTCTTAAATCAACACAAGTTGTAATTTGTCTCAAGTATTAAAATAATTAGTGACTTTATTTACTTTTAAAATGATGTACTGAATGCCTCTCACAGCTAGTGTTAAAATAAACATTTGAGTAAAATAATAATGATAATAATAATGATAATAATAATGATAATAATAATAAAACATTTTATTTATAAAGCGTCTTTCAGGACACCCAAGAACACTGTCCAATAGAAAGAAACTGACAGTGGTGGGCACCAGTCCYCTAAAGRACAAATCCYRTAATMYKYGACCTAAATAMTTRGTTTGTACTTTAGCGGTTTTACTAATTTTTATAATTCATAAGCAGATTTGCACTTTCTAAAATGAAAAAGCAGTACCACTAATAACTAATTATCTACCAGTCATCATTATGTTGAACAGCAGAAGGTATGACTGTCAATGAATCACAACACATGTGATCTATCCAACAGCACCCCTCCCAGATAAACACWCTTATTGTGAAGGTATACATCCTGCTGACTGTTGCTTTGGGTCACGGTTCTGATTTCCCACAATGCTTTGTGTCTGCTTACGTAGCAGGAAGGCAACAGCAAKAACAGTAAACGTTTGTAATCCATACTAAAATTTTGTATGTATTGATTTATTTTACTTTATAATCAGAGCTCCTTTTTAAAGAATAAAGTTTAAACGCTGGAGCTCAATACTTGATGTAATTGGTCGAAGCAATCAGCCAACGGGGTTAGACAGACATCTAGTGGTCAACTGGAGTAACTACATGGAAAACTTTCGTTTCCCGTCACAAATCAAATCCGTCATGTACCCAGAATGCACCTCTTCAGTTTTCCAATAAACAGTTTTAAAATTACTTTATTGATGCTTCTTTAATGAAAAATCTACACTAAACAAAAGAAAAAGACAAAGAAGCAGCTGAACTAACAATCCTCAACAACTTTTTAATTTTTACACCAGGAGCTAAAGGTCTGTTTCAGGAAATCACATCCCCAGTAATCAGAGGTTGTAGGATTAAGTTGTAAAAGAGTTCATACACCACTAGTTGGCAGTGTTGTACATATATTGTACATGAATTGTTGTCAGCTAGTAAGTGTCAAATTGAACTTGTGCTTTAAAATTAGTTTCTGCTAGTTTTACTATGACATAAGCACTTTTGAAGTTGTGGACCTAAATATTTTCATAAGAGCTTTAGAAATTGCAGAGCTAATTTTTGGATTAGCGCCGCCTACCACTGGAAATAAATGTAGATACATTGAATATATATATACAGTATATACTTTGTTGTGAAGTTAGTCTTAAATTTCATTTGAAGTGTTGTTAAAAAGTCTTAAACTGAAGGAGCGTTAAGCTGTAGAAAGCCTGTTGTAAGAACAAATGAAGAACTAATCCATTGTTTGAGCACACAGTTTGCTGTTTCAGCTCACGGCTGTGACTTCTCTCTGCAGAAGACACTGTTCACCCTGGGCCAGGGTGCAGGCTCTCGTTCTCCTTCTGTTACCCCCAAGCAGCAGCATCAGCCCAGCGCTGCGTCCATCCTGGAGTCTCTGTTRAGGTCGTCAGCTCCTGGCATGTCTACATTTAGAGTGCTGTACAACCTGGAGGTGTGTGTTGGTCCCAGCTCAAACTGAAGCCATCCTGTCACATCTGTGCTCTAACTGAAGTCTTCCTTTCTTCCTGCCTGTCAGGTACTGAGTTCAAAGCTCATGCCAACATCAGATGATGAGATGGCAAAAACAAGCAGCAAGTCTTTCTGTGAGAACTTCCTGAAGGCAGGAGGCCTTAGGTAAAACCAGAGAACTGAAACAGACCCTGTGAACATGGGCAGTTTTCTGCTGAGGCTCAGTAGAGCCCAGGATACATGTGTGTCATGTTTCCTGTTTGAAATGCCTGACAGTGTCTCTGTGCCTCCACAGCCTGGTGGTCAACGTCATGCAGAGAGACTCCATCCCCTCTGAAGTGGACTACGAGACCAGACAAGGAGTCTACTCGATCTGCCTTCAGTTAGCCAGGTGCACACATTACATTTCTACTAACAACACTCACAGACTCACAATCCCTCTGACCCCAGGCTCAGGCAGGCACAAACGTTCATATCCAAAGGACCTGGTCTACCTGGTCCAGGTGGGCCGGGTCTAGGGCCGGAGGATAGGAGGAAATATCACCCAGCTGGGCCCTTGCTCGACTGTGAAGATTGGATAGAAGTGAATGTGGATGGTCCAGCTCAGAGATGGCCAGTCCTGGTCCTGGAGGGCTGCAGCCCTGCATGTTGTTCTGCAGCTGCACCAGGAKACCTGCTCCAGATCTGGACTGAGTGGTTAAGACCAGTCTGTATCCTGATGGTGATCAGATCACCACCACATGCAATCATTTGTTCTTTATGAAAACGTCAACAGTTCCTGAACATGTCCTGAAGATCTGTTGTAACATTTACAGTGATCCTGTGAACAGACACACTGACACAACTGAAAACATCAGCTCCTTCTGTCTGGTAATAAGTCAGGGGCGGAGCCAGGGGGTGGCCAGGGGTGGCCATGGCCACCACAGACAAATCTTTGGCCACCCTGCTGTACACAGCCCTTCCACAGTGAAACAACCTTCAGGGGTGTAATAATCCTCCTGAACAGTTGGTGGCAGTGTTTAACAGTTTGAAACATCACCATGCTCTATGACTGAAGAGTAATGACAAGGAAGTGATGTTTTCTTTATATACAGAATATATAGTAGTAGTAATTTATTTGTTTCATTTGTAATACAAAATTAACAAAGTTCAAAAAAACATACAATCAAAATGAAATCAAATGAAATGAAAGGCAGCAGAAGAAGAATAAATCTTATAATATCTGCCTCTTTTTATACCTAAAATATGTTCAAAAGAAAAGTAAAATACAATAAAAATTCAAAACAACTTACAACACTTAAAAATGAACTAAAAACAAAAATTAAGACACCAACTCAAACAACAATTAACATGAATTCACTTATAATTCTCCATATTTCTTCAGAATACTATTTTTATCATTCTCTTCAATAAATACAAGGTTCTGACATTTTTAGCCTCATTTATATGCTTCATTATTTAAGCCTATGTAATCTGACTTATGGTGTCAACTTTTGGATTTATGGTGACAAATGTTTTTGTACATGTAAAACACAGTGTCGTGTGATGTTCTGAAGGCTGCATGATGATCTGTGTTTGGTTAGGAGTAGACCGATCACTAAATCAGAAAAAGTGAAACACCGCTCTTCACTGTTGGTTATCAATATTACAAATGTTCATTGAGTATTAATATTAGTTTTAAACATGCAGTAGAAGGTCATCATTATTTGTCACAATGACATGTTAACAATTAAAAATAAATCAATAAACAATATAAAAGTAAAAACCACCCCCAAAGTCACTGGATATGATAAACTGTGTCACATTAATTAGTCTTATCTCAGCTGTAGCAGTGAGTTTAAAAACAGGATGATGGAACCAGTTCCATGAAGAATCTGTCTCTGAAATAATTAAATCAAGTATTCATTTATAGGTAAAAGTATGTTTAACAACCTGGTAAAATACACCAGAATGCAGAAAATGGCATCTATATTGTTCAAAATTTTCTGAGGGAGGACCCCCAGACCCCCCAACAGTGCCCCCACCCTTTAAAAAGGTTCTGACACCATGTTTATAAGGTGGTCACTGTCTGTATGAGGACATAAGAAAATGAACAAAACACCAAGATCTGAAGAAACTTTCAACTAAAAAATTTATTTTCCTGGTCACCCCTGTGTGAGTAGTGGTCCCAGTCCACCCCTGTGAGAGTAGTGGTCCCAGCCTGAGAAAAGTGTCTGACTCCACCACTGTAATAAATCTGCATCATTTAGTCTTCAGTCCAGTGTCTCCAGTGGTAAAGGTTGCCTCTCACAGAAAACCAGCTTTAGTTAAAGGAACAATGAATCAAAGTCAGGAGGTTTTTCTGTTTAATTAGAAAAAAGAGCAGATTGTCATGGGTTTGATTTGTCCTCGTGTTGAATTAACCTGTTCTGATTAATCTTTAGGTTCCTCCTGGTTGGTCAGAGCATGCCTGCAGCGCTGGATGATGATGTCATCAGGGACGGCGAGGCGCTGTCCTCCCGGCCCTTCCGTAACACGGGGCGTAGCGGGCGACAGCTGTCTCTGTGCGGGACTCCAGAGAAGTCGTCCTGCAGACAGATGTCCCTGTCTGAGCGCTCATCCATACGAGTGGAGGAGATCATTCCTGCTGCTCGAGTGGCCATTCAGGTCCTGTCTGTCATGACTCAGCTGTTTCTCCTGTCTGTCATGACTCAGCTGTTTCTCCTGTCTGTCATGACTCAGCTGTT